ATTTGCATTTCTCCCCTGTAAACAATATCAGTAAGTCACCCCCAACTGGTATGCGGTTCACCCTCCTGGCTCCAGCCGCCTTGGCACAGAACAAGGGCCCCGTGGCATCCTTCAGCCTTTCCTCGGGGGGCTGCCTGGTCTTCATGGAACCAAAACGCGTCCTTCCTCTGGCTTTCGAAGTTACCTGCTTTGGCAGCTAGCTTTCTTACACCCTCCTCTACCTCTGTCACTTTCTTACCCATATGGCTTCAGAAATGCTCTGCATTTACTGCTTTTTCTCCAACTTGTCAAACTCATTCTGAAAGTCAATCCTTGTGTTTGTTCCCCCAAACCAATGGGGACTATTGGGTGACATAAGCCAGCCTCTTATCCCAGGATCTACATCAAGGCCAGCCTTACAAACCACCTACTGCCTGTAGACAGGTTTCTGGTAAGGTTGGGTTGCATCTGGAAGTGGTGTCCTCAATTAGTATTAATTATTTTGTTTTGAAGTGTCCAGTGATAGTTCCTCTCCATTTTGCTAGGTAGAAGAAAATTCACATGTAAAATGGTTAACGCTGTGAGCTATTATTTCTTTTGTTTTAATAGGAAATATTTCTTGTTCATGTGAACTGGTTAAAACGACAAAAAAAATTAATTTAAAATTTTAATTCTCACTCTTATTAGATGTCTAGGATAATGTTATGACCTTAATAAGGACATCTTTAATTGTATACATCTGATTTAAATAACATCCACATTTTCATTCCTGATAGACCCAAAGGGCTGAAATGAAAATTTAAAATTCCTCTGTGTGTAGATGCTTCTGTCATTAGGCCTGGCTTGTTTATTTGGCAGTAACAGCAAAATACTAACACTAAAGATATAATGGTCAGAAATGGACAGAAAATAGGGTTTTCATCTGAATAAGTGTTGATTCCTGGTATGTCTTATATGAAGAAAAATGATATATGAATATAAATTTCTTAAGTTGTAGTAACTTTGTATTATATTCAAATAATATGTAGCTACAATCTTTTACCTGGGTGCTTCTAAATTTTCTGATCAAGTCAAACAGAAATATTTCTGACTTTCCCAACCAAAAGAAAAGCTATTTGATTCCTAAATATGCAATAGGCGGGTCGGTTGGCAGAAGACAGGCTGGCAAAAGAAACAGATTTCATTCAACTTGATATTCTGATGCCTGCTTTGCTGACCTAAAAAATTACTTAAGATGATACTGAAACAAGCTGGCAATTCTGCTGTAAGTTCAGAGAATGATAAATATCACAAGGAAATGTCTCAGATCTCATTGCACTCATTCTGCCACTGCTAGACAGACATCTGTATCCATGGGAACCACACTCCCTAGCATGGAAGGGTGCATTTGACCCCAAAAGAAATAAGAATGTTTTCTGTAATAGAAAAAAAAAGGAATAATGCTGCTGGGAATTAAAATTCATTAATTTAACTAGAACACTATGGAATATATCAGTTTGTATGTGTCATAAACACCGAAGGAGATGAGAGATACTTTTGGTGCATGGACCAAGAGGAAAGGACAATAGTTGGAGGTAACTGACTGGGATGAGCAGTCCTGATGGTGTCAACCTGGTGGAAAAGCATCAGGGGGATACCTGTCTCAGGGATGGGTGAGACAAAAAGACCACCCTGAAAGTGAAGGTGTGGAAAGCCACTAAAAATATTTCCTCTGTTCTCAGACATTAGTCTTTTCAGCCACTCGTTACTGAATTTGAGGAGCACTAATTATTGGGTGTGAGGACCAAATTGGACACTTAGCTGTGTAATCACCATCTTGCTGTGCTATGGCTTGAAAACTGACTTCCTCTGAAGCTGGAAAGTGTGCAAGAATGGGCCTTTCTGTGTAGCTATGGTCCTTACCCCTTAAACAGAAGTAGTTTTGTGGGGGACATATATTTATATTGATACTAGCAAATTAAGCAATTTGCAAGAGCCAGAAGGCACATTTAAGAATATTGTGTTTTCTAATACATTTATAGTTTTCACTCATGTCATAAGACAAACAGAAAGGGGATACGTAACAAATTATTGTAGAAATTTATTGTTTAAATTTTTTTCCTGACCCATTCAAGTTATAACCCAAGTTATATTTCTCTCTATAAATATTAGAAAGAAACATTTTAATTCAATACTTTTCACTTGTGATAAGTAAAAGAGAGAAATTATATGTCCCGCCTTTCTTATTTGATGGAAACCTTCCAGTTTTTGTAATTAGAGGAATCTTTAGTGGATTATGATTTCATAGATATTTTCTAACTTATTCTGATTCTAGTCTAATGTTTGACGGTGAGGCTTGTGGCTAACCAGGATGAAACTGTCCTTGTAGGAGGTGTAAGCCCTCTTCTCCCTTTCAAGGATGTTTTGTTTCCTCCATAAGTTGATTTCACCAAAAGAAAAAGGGGAGCTTTGATTAGCAGGATAAAGCAAATGTATCATCAGAAGCACCAGCCTCTGTGACATGATTTGAAAAGGTGAGCAGATGGGCTACCAAGGTATCGCTCTCGTTAAAGTTTTCCCCTACAGAAGTGCTTAAATATAAACATACCCAATACATTCATACATACTGATTAGGTTCATTTAACTATGCTTTATAATGCAAAGATTTGTTAACATTTTTGCTGCTAATTTTTTCTGTGTATAAGCACTTACATTATTTGCAGATTTGGACTAAATCTTGACATGTTGCCCACTGAAAAAATTCACTCAGGTGGACAGATGCCTTTCTCAGCTCTATGCATCCTGTTCTTATTGCACCTTTGATCACTACAGCAGCCTTTTACTCCTGGGATATTTTCCAAGTTAATTTTTTAAATTAAGTTTTGTTCAATTATAAGTTTACTTTGAGCTAGGCTGGAAATCTATCTACTTGGAAGAGGAAGCCTTGTTCACATCTCATTTTGTGTGGAGTCGTTTTTTTAAAGATACAGAGGCTATTTGGTCATTGAATAATTTCAAGTTATTTGTTCTTTTGTCGTCGCATGCTGCACTGTAACTTCCCACCTGTGGGGAGCTGAGGCAGGATCAAAGGGACATTTGATTTTCTAAATGGGACTCTTGTGATTCTTGAGCACGTGGCTTTAGGAACTAAGATTTGCATATAGTAGTATGGTGATACCTTAAAATTTTATTTTCTCGGCTAAATTATGAATTTGCACTACCTGAGAAAAGGATGTGTCAGAGATGTCACTCTTGCAATGTTTACTCTTATGGCAGAAAATAATGCTAGCTTTTCAACAAAAGAAACTCCCTATTTTGCTTCATTTATCCAGATAGGTCTGGAACATAGAATTATCTGAATTTCTTAATTGCTTTTTGCACCGCCTTCTCTTTTAGGGAGTGGACTCTGTCCAGAATATCTACAGTGGGTCAGTGCAGAGTTTAAGACAGGGAGGAGCTTATTGCTTTTATCTCCTAGGAGGGGTTTATGTGCTGAGCCCAGGCAACTCGGAATTTTAGAATAAAATAATTCATTGGAATAAAAAGTTCATATTTCCCCGTAATTATTAATAACCTAATAAGTAAATGCTTTCCCCATACCATCTTGCTCAAGATACCATGCACATCACTCTCAACTTTTATGTATTTTTATGTTGCACACATTCTTTTACATTAGTCCCCCTAATTATCAACTGGTGCATATTTTAATTTTAGTTCATCAAACTAAGATGATGCAGTTGTTGAAACAACTTGTTAATGGCAATGTTGTACAAAGTGCAGTTGCAATTATATCATTTAATAAAGTAGATTAGGGACCACATGTTTAAAATTCTGTGAATCGGAACTCTGAGAATGAGAAAAAGTGACTGAAATTTAACTCCTCCAAAGAGTTCAAGAGAGAGCATGAGAGAGACAAGCAATGCACTAGACACTGAGACTGTTATGAAGTTCATTATAAACTCAACTAGGGATGAGCAGAGTGGTTGGGGCTGTGCACAGTGAACACAGTTAAAAAACTACCTCAGTGACTTTCATTTAAAAGAATGCCATTAAAACTCACTCCAGCTTCATTGCCATTAACTCTACTTCAAAATTCAATGATACAGTTATACAGTTATATTTTACTAAATGCCATAGGTTTTTCAAACTGACCTTTTCCTTTTAGTTGCAATTGCAAGCTGATAAAAGTGAATTTTTAGCCATGCAGAACTACTTACACTTATGCCTGTTGGCATGAGTCACTCGGGCAGAGAGTTAGATGTCCCAGTTCCCCAAGTGGGTAATAACTCTTCCTCTATGTATAAATTCTGATGGACCCATTTAAATCCAACTCTCAATGTGCAAAACTGCTAAACACAATGTGGTTCTAAAAGGCACATTTGTGACATCAAAACTAATTGTAACCTTTATAATGTCAATAAATTGGCTCATTAATGATTAAGGTTGATCTTAAAAATCTAGGACACAGTTTGACTGCTCAAGCTTTGTTAGTTTCTGATGGATAGCACCCTGATCAGTTGTCAATAGATACAGACAGGTAGAGATGGATTTTTCCCCCCCTCTAAAGCAGGAACCACACATCTGTCAGGTCAGGTCAAGTAAAGCAAGATTTAATGGGAAAATATTTTATGAGGTCTTTTGTTTTCATTGAATACTAAGTCAAGAACTCATGTGAATTTTTAAACTTAAAAGTAAAAGGGTGAATGTAATCAAGCCATTACCAATGAGTAAGACTCGCTTAAATCTCCTATGTTCACTTGGTAATGAATGTAAGATAGTCTCTGTGATGGGAAAGGCTAAATGGCACCTGAAATTTTCATTCATTCAACAAGCATATATTGATTACTTATTAGGCATACAGAGATAACAATAACAGGATCCCAAATACGTGTTGCTCATGTTGGTTCAGCCTCCCATGTTCTACATTACTTGTGGGTTAAACTCTAAAAGCAAGTGAACTTATAATACTAATCAAGTGCAAAATAAAAGCAGTGTGTTTAGCCAGGACTTGGTAATATAGATATTAGAATAAAATAGTGGCTTCAGTAGACATGTCTTCCTCTGAATTCACTCATGACCTGCACTGGGTGGATTTTTTTCTTCGCTGAGCCCCGTCTGATAGCTGCACAAGTTTCTTCTGGCTTCTCTCTTTTTATCAAGGGTTTTTTTGCAGGCGCCTTCATTCTCCACATCACAACTGGGTGCCGGGGCCCAGTAGGACTCTGAATTCGGATGATCTTGGTTGAGGCAATGTAAGACATTTTCACTGTTTGCACTACAGCATTCATTAAATTTTTGGCTGCTTGGATTAGGGAGGTAACGCTATCCAACTGCAGGAGGGAAAAAAAGAAATATTATTCAAGTAGGCAACCAGGAATTTAAAGAGATTTAATGTTACTGAAAATGAAATGTGTCACTTTATTTTTGTACCAGAAATGAATGAGTTAATTCTTATTTTATATATACCTATGTATAATTATCTACATTAATCCTTCCATCTATCTTTGAGCATTTATCTACTTATCTTCTGCACAAATAGGTCCATATTTTATCTTTTTTTTTTTAAAAAAAATATATCTTTATTGATTTCAGAGAGAGGAAAGGAGAGGGAGAGAGAGAGATAGAAACATCAATGATGAGAGAGTCATTGATCGAGCCCGCAACCTGGGCATGTGCCCTGACCGGGAATCGAACCCCGATCACCTGGATCCTAGGTCGACGCTCAACCGCTGAGCCACGCCCGGCCGGGCCATATTTTATCTTTTAAGATGATATGTTAGGCTGATTTCTTCCTCTTGGTTTTCAGTGAAATGGATTCTATAAATTCTATATAATATAGTAAGGTCCAGATGGCCATTGCTTTCTTTGTAATGGATCTCCCTATTTGCAGGGGTGGTACTGAGAGCCCTTTCTATAACAGATGACTATCCACAACAAAAGATATATTATGTGTAAATAATTTTATAAGAACAACAACTGAAAATTCTTCCAGGGAATTTATAGTTTAAGACAAATATCATACACACATACGAATGTATACATGCATGTATACTAGTTACTTTCACAAATATTTCCCAAATAATTTCACCTAAAAATTCCTTTTTAAACACAGAATGTTTCACCCTGCCCGGTGTGGCTCAGTTGGTTGGGGACTGTCCTGTGCACCAAAAGGTTGCTGGTTCGATTCCCAAGGCAAATGGCTGGCTTGTGGGCTGAATCCCCAGGAGGGGGCGTGAAGGAGGCAATAGATTGACGTTCTGCTCTCACCTCAATGTTTCTCTCTCTCTCTCCCTCTAAAAATCAATAAAAAATCTTTCAAAAACAAAAAAACCCACAGAACTTTTCAATGTATCATACAATGTGTTAAAGTAGAAAAAGCCAAGGCTTTTTAGTCAAAGTTGGGTTTAAATTCCAAGCCTGCCATTTGGTAACTTGGGCAAACATTTAACTATTTCCTTCCTGCTTTCCTCAGATATTAAATTGGAGAAGTATGCTTATTAAATTTAAATAATATGTGTAAAGAACCTAGTAGAGTGACTGCTAAGTTGTTGATTTCTGTCTTGTGAAGACTAACAAAGTTGCTTAATTATGAAGATGCATTAATGACACTAAAAGAAACCTTCACCCCCATGATTATGTTTTTAATTATTATGTTGTCTGGTTTGTTCACAAAATAATCTCAGGGAAAAATGTGGTGGTACTCATAGACTGTTGCAAAATACCTTAGAGCTAAGCCAACCTGGTTCATTTTTATACAACTAATGCCTTTTCCATAATTTTAGTTTGACAGATTGTCATCCACAACCAACTCATACCAAAAGATATGCCTTCACTGTCGCCTCTCTGTGATGTGTGCTGTCAGGGCTGAGACTCAAACACCAACCCTGTAGTTACTAAAACCCATCAGCGGCTGCCTGGCCTGAGTACACTACCTTTGCAGTTTGCAGAGTCTCATCTCACAGAATAAATGAGTGAAGGAAAGTACTAAGCTGAGGTTATATGCCTGGGGCAGCGGTCTGGCTGGCTAGGGGCTTGTAGGGGGAAAAAATTTAATTAGCTCCATTATATGCCAAGCCAGAAATTCTTGAAAAGGTAACAACAAAAATTTATAATTTGAAAGGTAGTAATACTTGACAACTACATATCTTTAAGTCTTTTTATGTATTGAAGCCAGAAATGTAAAATCTGTTCATTGGCAGGAATGACAAGTGTTGTGCAAACATTAAACAGGATTTCATGAAGCACTCATGTGTATTCCAGAGGACACTTAGAGCTTCTAAATCTGTTCACAACTCAAAAGAAACTAGATTTTAGGTAGAATAACACACTTTGTTATTAACATTACTCTATGGAGAGGTTGCAGGCTAAAATCTGTACTTTAATAATTAGTAATTTCCATTAAAAACCTCCTGGAGCCCATTTAGATTCTGAAGTTGTTTCCAATCTCATTATAGGAAGATGAAAGTTTCTTCTAAGGACAAATTAGCATGAACAGTATTGAGGATACTTGGTAAGTTTCTCTCTCAAACATGAAAATACTTGGTTTGCTCTGAGGGTTCTGTGTTACCATAAAGTCTTCCACAGAATAAAGTCCTAGGGGCTGTCACTGAGGATTTCACCAGTGGCTTTGGCTTCCCCACCCTAAAACTTATATTCTTT